GGGGCTGGCTCTAGGCAGTACAGGTCAGCTAGTCTTCTACCAAACAGCAGTCTCATATTCTTGGATAGAAGTTGTACTGGTCTTTCTAAAATGGCATTTTTTCAGTTTTTAAAAACCTCCCAATCTGTACTTCAGGGAATGTGGTGCAGTCTAGAAATTAGACTAGGTGGTAGGTTGGTCCTGTTTATAGTGCCACAGCTGCAGATCACCCACCTGTCTCATTTCCTGCTCTGAGTTTAGAACATAAAAGAGGAGATTCTCTTTGCATCCATAACAAGTATACCCTGGTTACTAAAAATAGAAACCTAGTGACATCATTGCCGTTCATAATGTGAACAGCAGAGCACCCACCAGCAGCAGATTGTGTAATGGTAACCCCTCCTATATAGAAAATGCATTTGTGTTTCTACCTCAACTTCTAACTTTGAGTCTTCTTTTCTATATTTAAATGCCAGCCAATCATATAACATAGCTAATGTGAGTTTCTTTTATGAGGAAATCACACCTTTATTTTGGTTAAGAAAAAAAAGGAATTAAAATTATTTTCTGGGTTATGCTTTTCAAAGCAAAAGGAAGTTAGATAAGGGTAGGAAAATCCTTTGTTAGGCAAGGCAGAATTCTACTAGCGAAAGTAGTAGGTTGTTTTTTCAAACAGTTGTCCAACAAATCTCTTTCTGGCTTTGATCGTTATTCATATTAGGACTTCAAAGAAAAGCCCAGGCCTGACCTAACAAGTGAGATTATGCCTTCATGAAAGGTAAGATTTGAGGGAAGATTGCAACTGTTTAAATTTAGTATCTTAAAGTTGCTGTCATGTAGACAAGAGTTCTAATAGTTGGAGGTGTTCAGCAATGAAAAGGTGGTCTCCACAAGTTGTGAGAACCCGGCCACTAATGATGGTCAAGCAGAAGGTGACTGATGGGGATCGTTAGATGACCACAATGATAGCTTGCACTGGGTGGTGCTTTCCTTACAAAATACTTCTGTGCCAGAGATGTTAGTGGTTGTCTCTGTTGCCAGTTGTTGGCTTTGGCTCTGGCTCATGCCCTTTTCTTGAAGAACTTGCCCAACTTTTCCCTGATTGTTCTATCACCCATACTGAGCCGGCAAGCTAGCTATGTGATCAGTCTCCAGCCACAGCTGATCAATCAGACTAGGGATGGGCCCTTGCCCAAGGGGAATCAATCACATTCTCTCTTGTAAGAAATTTTGATTCAATAATTCATGCTCCACTTCCATCAGCACTTAAACTGGTCAGTCCTGAGGCCCACCAGGGCAGCCATAGTTCCCATATGCACAGAATGGCAGAGAAAGTTGCCTGGCAGAGAGAAATCAGATGCAAAGAAGAAAGTGGGGATGAAGGACTATGTGGCATAATTATGATGGACCACAGAAGATGACTTTACTCCGACAGCTTTCTGTGTGTGCATGGCTGCAAGCTCATCAGCACATTCTGCTCTTGCCTTTCCTGAGATACTCCAGTATTCTTCTAGCTAATTTCTGCTTAAGCTAGAATAGGTGAAATCCTGTTGCTTGCAACCAACCAATCTCAGATGAAGAATTTATTTTTATTTCTTCTTATCTTGTTAATAATTTTCTGTGGCCAAATGAAAAAGCTGAAGATAGGAGAGGTTAAAGGATTATCTAAAGACTCCTAACTGAGCGGTAGAGGGGTTATAAGTGTGTGTGATTTTAAGACTTGATCCTACATGGGTCTAGGGATAGTGCTATGGAACTGGTTTCCTGTTTTTAGTGGGAAATTAGCCTAGGTGACCCCCAAGTTCCCATCTGTTTTAACTCTCTGATGCTCAGAGTCCAGGACTTGCTCAAGATTCTTTGGCTTTATAAAATGTTCTAGGTATCCCTTTGGTTTTGTAAATAAGTGACTTTAGACACTTTCAAATGTCAGCCTGTTGAGAAGACCCTGCTCAGTGAGATTCGATGCTTCTTTATTGGATGAGCCTTAGAGTTGGAGTTGGAATGAGTGACATTTTTGTATTTTTATTCTGTGGTGTGTTACCTTGTGTTCATTTCTAGTCCTTGGGTAGGCAGACAGGGTTGGTGTACTGGAAGTGTATTTTTAGTCTGACATTAAAAAATGTATCATAGACACCAACACAGGAAACATTTTTTAGGTGAGTCAGTATATAAATAATCTCAAAGAGTTTTCATAATGGGATGGTAGGTCTTTAATTTAAAAGTCCCTGCATCTTCAGCCCCTTTGCCAACCTCATTCATTCATTCCATTGTTACTTATTGGACTTCTTCAGGCTAGCATGTTGCTTAGGATTTAAGAAAGAAAGATAAACGCTTATCCCTTATAATATAGCTTCAAAAAATGCTATTGCCCTTCTTTGTTCTCTCTGTCCTGCAAGAGTGAGTTTTTTGAGTGCAGGAACAGCATGTTGTTCATCTTTATGTCCCCATACTTAGCATTGTCCTAGGCACAGTCAATACTCAAGATATTTTCAGAATAATTAGCTAGGAGCCCACAGTCTAGTTCAGAGAGAAAGAAAAAAAAAATTGTACCAATATGTCTAATGCCTTCAGTGCCCAAAGTATTCTATGAACACAGAGTAGAAATGATGAACTCACTAGAAAGGTAATTTTTGAGTTGAATCTTGAAGGATGGAGTTTTAAAGGTGATGTAGGAATTTGTGATATTATGCAAAGGCAAACAAACAATCCAAAGGCAGCCTTCTTTTGTTCTGGGAACTGAAGGAACTTGGAGTAACAATGACAGCATGAGATTAAGTACTTCAAACCAGAGGGTTTGAGCTGAATCCTTGACCTACTACTGACAGATAATGTGACCTTTGGCAAGCAAGTTTTTAAAACTTCGGTGAACTCCCATTTCTTCATCTACAGAATAGAGATAATAGTAGTGCTACCTATAGAGAGTGGTTATAAGAATCAAACTGGAAAAAATACATGTAAAGCTGTTACCTTGTAAGTGCTTGGCACATAGTATATGTTCAGTCAGAAAGAGTAGTTATTATTCTGGGACTTGAATAGAAAAGATAAATATGAGCTCTAGAGAGAGCATCCAAAGCCCAGAAACATGTGGCAGGGCTAAGTATTCAGAACAAGGCCCTGGTAGATGCTGGTCACAGTCCTTCTTTACTTCAAGACAGTGGTTATTAATTTCAGGTCAAGGACTTTAAACCTGGGAGAAAAATGTGCATAGGCCTTATTCATACATTTAGTTTAGGTGAGATAATTTCATCCTAAGCCCTGTAGCTTATCCATAGAACTCAGTTTTAAATCCAAAGGTAGAAGTTCCACATTCATAGTTTAGGTATGCCCCATGAGTTCCAAATTATGTGTTGTGATCAATTAAGCAATTGAAGAACATCTTAAAATACTAGAGAAATTCCTTAGGAAAATGTGCCCATGGGTCATGATTTAGTTATATTTGACTGTAAACATATTAACATGTAAGCTGTTTTGAAATTAGAGTAATAAAGCAAGTGGGAGAAGAGATGTTTTGGAGACAACCTAGAAGGAAAGAATAAGACATGAGTGAGGACATGGGAACATTTCTGGATGAAGATAAAAACTCAAGCAAAGGCATTCAGGTTGAGGGAAGAAACCTTTGTAATGCATCTTTTACGCATGCTCAATGATTGATGTTCAAGGTTAACTCTCCTGTTCTCTATTAGGTCATTATTGGAGAACAAATTTTAAAGCTCTGCAGACTGAAATGAGAGGTGACTTGTCCAAAGTCACCTGATTTTCAGGTGAGAAAGTCAGGACTAGGACCCATGTTTTTCCACCATGAAATGCTGCAAAATAACACATTGTCTGCAAAGTGAACCCATTCATTAGGCTACAGACCAGTATCCATACTGGAGAAAAAATCCAAGCTCCTGAGAGACAGAGGGGCCCTATCAGTGAGTTGCCTTAATGACCAGACTAAGAAATTGGAAGTTTAATCCTTAAGAAGAGGAATTGAGAATCACATATCTAGTGTTGAAATGAAATGGTAGAATTCAGGATTGGAGACTCATCGCTTGTCCTTTGAATTATACAGCAGCTGGAAATCACATTACTTTTTTCTTATCTGGACTTCTCACTTGGAGGTGTTCTGATGGGAGGGCATCTGTGAACTTTTTAATGGGAGCAGTGCTAAACCTGGGTTAGGGCCATGTTCTCCCTGGGCTGGCTTCAGGGCAGGTAAAATCCCACTCCCTGTTGCTTTTTAGCTACAGACACAGCCACTGCGCCACCACCAGCTGAGTGACTCGGAATCCAGGGGTTGCCAGTAATTGTGGGTTTAAGTCACAGAGGAAAAAAGATAAGAGGAGAGCCAGGCTGGTTTTTCCACAATTAAATGTTGCCTCTCGGGCTTCTCTGTTGGCAGGAATCCAAGAGGTCAGGATCCACCAGCCATATTATTTTTCTCCCTGGCTGCCTGCTCTCATTTGTATCCCCTCCTCATTCATGGGAAGGAAGAAAAGGTGGGTTGGAAATAAAAAGCTTGTTCTAGCCTACTTTTTCCTCTGCGAAACTTGTCAGAAACAAAGCTTTTCCATGAGACAGACGGGATCCCTTCTAGTAGGTGGCTCTTCCTGCATGCACTTTCTATCTCCTCTCTTCTTTCCTTGCCAACAGCAGAAATATATTCTGGGGGTTGAGGGGAGGGGGGCTGTTGAAATTCACTTTTCTCTTTTTATAGTCATGACAAAAGTTTTTTTTTTTTTTTTTTTTCCTCAAGTACTGATAGGTACCTGGTGCTGTGGGACTTTTGCATTTGTTAATTGTTAACTTCAAATTCTTGTCCCTTATCACTCCAAGGCCATAGTAGGTGTCCTGAGGGCAGGAATGGTTTACAGTTCTTTGTTTTTGCCCCAGTGCCTTAAAGGTAGAGAAGGCAATTAGACAGCTGCTGTTGTTTTGATTTCTACTTTCCTAAGATATTAGAATAAGAAGGAACTTTCATCAGCACCGGATCAAACTTCAACACTCAGTGAAAGAACACAGTGTGTAAAGTGACTTACCTTGTACAATGAATAACTGCCTTCCTAGAGGGAGCAGCAGTTCTCCTAACACGTGACTCACTGACATAAGCTAGAGCTGTGAATCCACCAAATCCACTAGTCTCTTTCAGACTTTAGCAGTCTGACCACCGGTCTTGTTTCCTTGTTGTGAGGTTGCCCATGATTGTTTTTATCTGCCAGGCATCTGTACGGGTGAAAACGTCTCCACTTAGTAAGCACTCAAAAAGGCAAGTTTCTAAGAATCATTGTTTCATTTATTTTTAAAATTCCAAAATAGTAAATAAATAAATTAAATGAATTCCATGCTGCCTTTATAAGAACACACATTTCTCAGGTCAATTCAATATCAAAAAGTGGTATCTGCTGGTGCCTGGTGAGAACTTAGAAGGGACAGCAGTAATTGGGCTCCTTTTTTTTTTTTTCTTTTTGAATGCTTTATAATTTTTATTGGTGCATCATAATTATACATAATAGTGGAATTTGTTGTTACAGCCTCACACCAGCACATAATATAACAATATAATTCGGTCAATTCCATCCTCTAGTGTCTCCCATCCTCCTCCCCTTTGTCCCCTTCTATTTTCAGGAGATCCCCCTCTTTTCTCTTTTTACTCTCTAGCTTCCGCATATGACCCTTGATTTTCTGACGTTGGCTTATTTCACTTCACAATGCTTTCAAGTTCTACCTATTTTCCTACCAAGTGATATAATTTCATTCTTTCTTATGGCTGAACAAAACTCCATTGCGTACGTATGCTACAACCATTCATCAGTTGATGGGCACCTAGGCTAGTTCCATAGCTTGGCTGTTATGAATTGTGCTGCTATAAACATGGGTATCCGTATACAGTATAGCATGATGACTTTAATTCCTTAGGACAAATGCTAATAGCTGGATCACACAATGGTTCCATTTATAGTCTGCTGAGGAACTTCCATATTGATTTCCATAGTGGTTGTACTAATTTGTAATCTCACCAACAGTGTAAAAGTATCATCCCCCCCACCACATCCTCTCTAGCACTTATTATTTGTATTATTGCCATTCTACCTGGAGTAAGATGAAATCTCAGTGTTGTTTGCCTTTCCTTGATTGCTAGAGATGTTAAACATTTTTTTTTCATATATTTGCAAGCCACTTGTATATCTTCTTTTGGAAGTATCTGTTTAGCCCATTTGCCCATTTCTTGACTGGGTTTCTTTTTGGTTTTTTGTTTTTGAGTTCTTTATATATTCTGGATATTAATCCTCTGTCAGAAAAGTTGCTGGCAAAGATTTTCTCCCATTCTGCAGGTTCTCTCTTCATGCTCTTATTTCCTTTGCCATGCAGAAGCTTTTTAATTCAGTGCCATCCCATTGATTAATTCTTTGGATTATTTTCTGACCTTTCAGCATCCCTAATAATGCTCTTGAAAGCAGATTTAGCTGGACTAGAAATAGAAATTCCCTCCGCCCACAGGAAACACCTTTTCCTGTCTCCTGTCACCCTTCAACATAAGGGAGTGTGGGTTGATTTATTCAACTGTGAGTAATGGAGCACCTACCTCCCGCACTCAATGTGGAGTCAGAGGCTAGGAATGTGAAGTAGCAGAGGAGATGACAAGCTACCAGGACCCACTTGCTGAGCAATTGACATGAACATCCATGAGTGATATGGACATAAATGGCACGAAAGGGAAGTCCCAGGCTAAGGAAGGTGTGCATGGCAGGATGCTGCCCCAGATGGTGCTAAGGGGCAAGACTGTGGAGAGATGCCTGAAGAGGTCAGCAGAGGCAAAGAGTTGCTAACATTAGCTACAAGTGCAGAGAAAGGATTTCAAGGGAAAGACAGGGAATGGAAGAATGGAAAGGAAGTCCTTCTTACCACTCCTGTTGATGTGGGTAGCTTTCATCAAGGAAGGGGCAATAGAGATCTTCCATGGCTCAACCAAGGGTCATGCTTGTCCATAATGCTCCTTTCCCTCACATTCGTATGCCTCTCTTGTCCTCTTTGTAATGTTCTGAATCTGTCCATCTTCTAGAAGCCTGAGTAGCAGCAGAATGGTATCCCATTGCCACCAGAACTTTAGGAAATGCCCCAGATGATTAATCAAGGAAGGACCTTATTTGCCCACAGAACCCCAAATTCTGCAGTAATTCTCCCCATAAGCCATATGAGACAAATGCTCTGTGTGAATAATACTGGCCTCACTCCAGCAATAACACAGCTGTTGAAACAGCTTAGTCACCGGGCGATGGAGGTAGTGTGGTGAGGGACTGCTGGGGTGCACTGAACTGACATTTAGCTGGCTGGCTGTGGCCCTGAGAGCCAGCAACAGATCTGTGGGAGAGCTGCGGAGAGAATCTGCTTCCTGTCCACAACACTCCCTTGTTTCTTTTGAAGCCTAACCATAATCCCCTCCCTGGGTAAGGCAGACTGAAGAGGAAAACTGAAAACATTTTAGAACTGAGGGGAAGAAAGAAAAGAACTGGTTCACTCTTTTTAGACACCTGGTCTCTCCCCCTGCATGATCCATGTTTATTTTCTGGATCACTGTTTTCTTTCTTTCTTTTTTTAATGCCGCAGGCTAGGTAGAATGTAATTTAAATATGGTGGAGGAGGAGAAAAAAAATAAAACAGTTTACATTTATCTTATCTAGAAAGACAGTATGACTCTTAGCTCTGGGTGTCCAGGTGATGTATGAAAAAGTTAGGGAAAGTCCTGGCCCTTCTGCCTGGTCTTGCCTGGATTCTTGTAGCAGCTCCACCCACCTGAGTTCTTGCCTGAAGGATTCTGGGCAAATTTGGGCAGAGTACTTAACCAGTCTCATCAGAATTTTGGGAGGACTAATAAACTGCCACAGAGTGACCCCCCATTCCTCCTCCAGCCCTTTGAAGAGCTGACCTTTGTGTTTTCTCTTTGTCCTGTGCTCCTTCTGCACTGTTTGTTTTGGAAGTTGTTAAGTTAAATTAGCCATCCCTTTCCTTTCCTGGTTGCTGTATGAGAAGGCAGCTGTCAGTCGGTGAACTCTGCCATCGTCTATTTTTAGATTCAGTGTGAACGAAGCTCTCTTCTCTAATTGCATTCAGAGAGAGAGAGAGTGTGTGTGAGAGAGGGAGGGAGGGGAGGGCAGGTAGATTTTCACAACCATCAAATAAGCTATTCCAAATGCTCTGTGTCCTGAAGGTGTCCTGGGGAGAAAGCAAAGACACCCACTGTGTGTTTTCTTCCCTTGGCTGTCAGATTTGTTTTCTCTCCACATTTGTGTTGATTATGGTCAAATAAGAAAGAGCTGTGGCCACATTCGCTTTCCAGTGTTTTAACACTTGCCAGTTTCTCGATGGTTCTGATTTCTGTTGCTTTTGTTAGAAAAAAAGATAGGCTCACTGTTGAGTTCAAATTCCTTGGAAAACAAATTTCTTAGAAAATATCTTTCAGGAGGTATTTTCTATGACATTAAATCATGTTAAACACACAGAGAACTATGGAGTACAGGAGGTCTCCCCATGGCTCTCTAACTTCCCTCCACTGCCCCCCCATGCCCTCCGCCAGTCTGCTTTTCACATAGGTGACAAAATCTTGCTTAAACATTTTAAACTGAATGCCACAGCAGGCCATACAAAAACTTCATTCTTTTGTGCTCAGGCTGTTCCTGCTCTCCATCCTTCACATTCCCTCCAGTCTTTCTCTCACTTTCCTCACCATATTGAATTGACTGCTCCCTGCTGTTTGTGCTTACCTGACTTTTTACACATGCAGCTTCTCCCATCCATAATTTCTTCTCATATCTTGCTGTCTAGTGAACTCTAGTCCTTTGATTCACAGGTAAACATCACCCTTTCTGGATGAGGTGATCCAGAAGGTCATGTCTTCTACGCTGCATTCCTGGAGACCCCTACCCAGCACTCTTGATCTCTTAATGCCAACTGTATACTTTCTATATACTTCAAATGCAGTATTAACTGCCTACTTCCTTATGAATATGCCTGCCTTTCCCATTTTACTGTGAACAATTTGAGGACAATGATACTTTCCTTATGTGTCTTTTTATCCCCACTACTGTGTGTGAAAACCAGGAGGTGCTTAAAAATGTTTGGTAGAGAAAGAATGAATTAAGTTCTTTAGTCCATCCAGTGTTTGAGGTTTCAGCTTATTTGGTGGAATCTCTTACCAGAAGTCCCTTCTAGTGTCTGATCCCTATGGACTAGGGGACATGATGCAGACATTAAAGGTCTATCCTTTTCTTGTTTAAGCCTCAAATCCTAAAGCAGCACTAGGTCAGATAATTCATTGGTTTCTAGCCCCTGGAATTGCATCCCACCTCTTCTCTTAACCCCTGGGTCCTCTCAAGGAGAACTCTAGTACATCCCCATGTTCAGAAGGGAAAAGGGAAAAGGAGACATCACCTCCCTCAGAATCACTTCCATTCATGTATCCCAGTACATTGTTCTTTTTTGGGACCATTGGGATTCATGGGCTAAATTTGAGCAAAATTCTTTCACTAAGCTGTGTGTGTGTGTGTGTGTGTGTGTGTGTGAGAGAGAGAGAGAGAGAGAGAGAGAGAGATTGATTATGTAAGGGTAGGAGTAGAGAAGAAAGTGTAATGTCACTACAATAGAGCAAACTCCCTGGTTGGTACAGAGATGATAGAGTGACAGGAAATTTAGGGTTATAAGAGTATTTGAAGGAAAAAGAATGTTGTTCAGGGGCTGGGATTGTGGCTCAGCAGTAGCGTGCTCTCCTAGCACGGGCAGGACCCGGGTTCGATCCTCAGCACCACATAAAAATAAATGCATTGTGTGTGTCCATCTACACCAAAAATAAATATTAAAAAAGCCTCAGTTTCTCAAACTGCCCATTATTCTTAAAAAAAAAAAAGAAAGAATGTTGTTCATTAATTTGGTAAATACTTAATGAGTATCTCTTATGAAGACATGGGAGATATAACTATGAACAAGACTGAGGCAGTCCCTGGAGGTCAGCATCCTCCAATCTGTGGGAGGTATGTAGGACAGAGATGCAAATAAATAGGTAGGTACACTGAAGAAGGATAAGTGGTACAATTCTAGGCAAACAGCACTGTTGGAGCAAGAGGAGGAGAACTGCTTTGAGTTTTGATGGGTAAGAAAAGGCAGGAATGAATCTGCATAGAATTCTAGAAGATGAGCAGGAGTTAGACTTGTGGGGATACCTTGCACTATCTGCAGTCCCAGAGAAGTCTTATTCATTCTTTCAAAGGGGAACACCTTTTTTAAAAAATATTTTTTGGTTGTAGATGGACACAATATCTTTACTTATTTTTATGTGATGCTGAGGATTGAACCCAGTGCCTCCTAGGTGCTAGGCAGGTACTCTACCACTGAACTACTGACTCAGCCCCCCAAAGGGAGACACCTTTTAAAACTCTGATGTGCTAGTGAAGACTTTGCAACAATTGTCGTAACCTCAGGTATAAACATGAAATAACAGCCAGCATTTACTGAATGTTTATTGTATGGCAGGCCTCTGCAGAGTGCTTGGCATACGTGACTGTGATCATTCCTCATAGCTCTCAGTGATGGGCTTTACCATTACCTCCATTTTTAGATAGAAAAGTTCAGTGACTTGCCCAATGTTGCAAGGCACCAAGGTGGCTGCAACCCCAGGTTGGCTGGCTCTCTCCGGAGGTAAGTTCTTGCCATCTTCCAAGGCTGGAGGGGATGGAAGCTGTATTTGAGGTGGACAGCCTGAGTGAAAGGAGAGAAAAATCTCATAGGATTTGATGAAACTAAGGTGCTAAACAGCTTCCATACCTTAGCCTATTATGCCATTTAAGCAGTTTCCACTTTAGATCAAGGACAATATAAAGTTGTTGATGATATTTTGGAAATCAGCTTTCTCATGTCATTGTGAAAATTAGGAATGGGAAAGCGTTTTAGTCCTCAAGACTGGACATGATGGTGGCCTGAACAATGGGAATGTTGGTGAAGAGAAAGGAGATCAATCGGAAAGCCATCTAGCAGAGAGAATTGACCCAAATGGGAGGTATGGCTTTATGAATCATGGGAAAGGAGATATCAGTGGGAAGTGAACATATGGATTTAAAACTCAGGAGGGGAAATCTGGACTGGAGAGGGAGATTTGAATCCCAGGAGGAGATGGGTGTCCTTCTGGGTAGGTGTGTGGAGTCAGCAGAGAAAAGATCCAACCGACAACCTCATAAACACAAACAGGTGTAGCTTTTCCATATTCATTTGGTTGTAGAACAAGTGATGTTCCAGTTACCCTTTCCAGTTGTGCAGCCTTGATGCAGTAGTAGTCTTGGTTACAACATGGATGAGTTGATGTTTTCTAGTTGAGAAGTGCTATCATTTTGCAAAGGACCTGATATGAACAATGTTTTCCTTTGTCCCTAGTCATGTTTCATTGACAGAGAGCTGACTTCAACTAGGAGATAATGCAACAGAACATAGCAAGAGAACTGGATGATGCTTAGAGACATGTGTTTGTATACATGGAAAATATTTCTCCACAATGCAAATGCTTGTCATGATGGAGAAAGAGGAGAGAGGTAGTATGAACTAAACTATTAGGCTGGTTTGTGAAATAATTGCACTCATTCATTGGTTTAACTGCTCACACCCAGGCCTGTAGGGCATCTTAAGAACATAGCCAGGGCCAAATTTATAATTAGCTGAGGCCATTTTGGCCAGACCTAACCTTGGATACAGGACAGGGTTGGTTTTGTTATTTCCTTAATTGAAAGCGTCAAGAAAATACAAGCCAGGTCAGAGAGTTTTTGATTGGGGAAGGAATGCTGCATAAATAACCCCAGATTATATGTCTGCTGGAGGACAGGAGGAGGCTGGTCTGTGAGGCCTCCTTCTGAAGTTAGCCAAACAAACTCTGTGACTGGCAGCTCCCCTATGTAATGTGGGAATGCACATGAACCTTTTTGAAACCTCTTTAATTTTTTTCCCAGGGCAAGGGACCAGGAAAGTCAAGATTTTGCTGGTAATCTAACAGCTTCTCACAACCATAAAAAAATTCTTTATCTCTATTCTAATATAATTTGTCCTCCTCTTTCCCCACTTTATTTTCACTTAATTGCTCAACAATATACCCATTCTGGGACTGGCCAGAAAGGGCC